GATAGAATTTTATGACTAAGATCTCTTTGCCTTCCCAGGAAGTAAACATTATTCACCATCTAGTATACGGACTGGGCAGGAAGCAGGACAGAAGGAGATGGATGTAATTATTTCTCTCCCTCCTGAATGTGAAGTTGGTTTGGTTCTGATATTGAAGTCTAATTCAGCTCATTCTAATTCAGCAAACATTTCTCTGAGCTCAGTTTATATGCAAAACACCCTACAAGATACAGCGTGGGATTCAAAGATAAAAATTGATCTGTAAAACACTATTTTGGGAAGTTGTTGCTCAGGGGACTCTTTATTGATCCTCCTTCATCTTTGGTTGTGTTAATTTTTAGAGAATTAACATAATTATTTAAAAGAAATGCTGGGTGCGTACTGAGCATACCAGTGAGCAGTCCCGGGAGTCTGAGCCCACGCCTCTCAGGATCTGCAGTGACATGCATAAGCTAACCCGGAAACCCTGAGCCCCAGTGCAACACGTCACCTACAGAAAAAACACTAAGAAATATGGAGTCATGGAGGCTGCTGCAGTTGGGAGTCCTTCCCCAGAATCGAAGAGATGACAGATTGGTTCAAGCTTGAAGTCCTGGAATCCTACCAGAAATGTAACAGGATTGCCTCAATTTCCTATCAGTGATAGTCACACTTTCTTGGATCCATTCTTCTCACTATCCTCCAAACCATATGGATGTTTAGCCAGGTTAGACCCTTGATAAGAATTCTAACTCTCTTCTGTTGTGCATCACACCCACTACTTCATGTAAACCTTCTATTCAATCCTTCCAAACGTTCTGTGAAGTGAGAATTACCATGTGACAGAAAAGGAAACTGAGGCTCAGAGAGGTTAAGCAATTTTCCAAGATTATTTAGAGAACAGCAGATGCAAGATTCAGACCAAGTATTGTGTGTGCACAGCCTCCATTCTTAACCACTAATCCAAAACTAAGACATCATTATTTCTTTTTATGTAAGAACACAGTCCTTTTTCCAAACAATACTTTCTTGAATACACTTAGCTTCTTTTCTGATTAGAAGTTCTCTGCACTTTAACCCTTGAACTGTGAATTCTGATGTATGGATTTGTTTGGGTTAAGAAAGATCCAACCTTCAAAAAGCAGAAAAGTCTCAGGGATGGTTTTTTTCCCCCTAATTACATTGATGGTTTGCAAATCCATGTTCCTCCTTTAATCACCAATGCCATTAGAAAATGAAAATTGATAGCCTCCCTCTATCCAAACAGAAATTCTGAGAACAGCCACGAAGGAGTGAGTCAGGGCTTTTGCTCTTCAGTGACAAGTGTTGCTGGAGAAGATAATTACTTTGCTACTGGCAGAACTTCTGCTTCACTTCAGTGATCGATTGCTAGTGTTTTCAAGAGCAAAAAACCAAAAGAGTCAATGTCATGGCTAAAAGGTAGCGTAAAATGAAGCTATGCTGCATAAATTGACTGGGGATTTTAAAATTAGGCTCCAAAACTAGGAACATGGTTAAAATTATTTCTTACCATGGTAATCTTACAGAGGTGATCACACACAGAATATGGTGATGGGAGCAATATTTTGGAGACAGCATAAGTAAAAAAGAAATTTTATGCTATACCTTCCCTGTAAAAAGGAAATAGATATTCTAATGAAAAATTAACAAAAAAACTGACACAAACCAGAAATCTTTAGGCCTAAGTTTTAACTGCTATCGGTTTCTGTTCCTACTGGTATTTGAAGAAGGGGTGTTTATGATTAATAGTATTTTAAAAAGTTTTCCTAGTCTGATTAATACACATTCTATCCTCTCTAGAGCTTCTGGAGTCTATAATTTGTTATTGTAAACAAATAGATGGCCATTGATATCAAACTTATGAATTCTTGAAATATTTCTGGGTTGGTAATATGACTTACAGGTTTTTTGTTTCATATTTCAAAGCATTACATTAACTAAAGTTTAGGTTAGGAAGGAAAACTCTTGCTGGTATTGTCTTCTTTGTAAAACAACTTTGTAAAACAGAAATCATATTTGTCTTCATCTGCTGCTGCTTTTTAGTTCTTTGAGAAAATCTATTGGCTTTCTGCCTTAGGACCTTTGCATATACTACTGCATATAAGGAACTATCCCAAAGTACTCCTGCCCACCTCTTAAATATTCATGTTCAATGTCTTCTAATTTTGGTAGATCCCAGTATAATATCTCCTCTTTAGAGAGGTCTACTATGTCTATTTGGTCTAAAGTAGGTTCCCTTCTCTTATAATTTCTCATTGTTTCTACACTTGATTTTTGCAAATCTTGTAACAATTCTTATTGCATCTTTATTTCTGTACTGTATGTTTTCTATCTACCTGTAAAGCAAGGATCATGTCTATTGTATTCACCTACATAGACTAGACTTGGCAACTGTTTGACATTTAGTAGGTGTTTGACAACATTTTTAAATGAGTAAATGCAAGAATACACCTGAAGGAAGAAAGGGAAATTCTTAGTGATGGAAGTAAACAAAGCTGGCAAAGGGATTGAAATGTAAAGAACATCGATGTTGTGAAAAGGTGACAAAACCAGTAGCGAAAAGCAACTATGACACTGAGTGACTGGGAACACATTTTAAACAGAACAAGGATGGAGAGTGTTGAGAATAGTCCTGATATCATATATTGGATGTGATGAGAAATTTGTTTATTTCATGAATTTATAATATTCTAAAGAAGTCTACATGCATTTGAAATATAACAAGTTAACTTAAGCTATTTTGCTTAAGCATCATATCACCAATGGAAAGTGTGGGCTGTAATTTTATTATATTTACTGTACTGTCTTGTTATGTTTTATCCTTGAGTGGTGATCAGTAGATATTTGTGGAATACTCATTGCTTGAATGAATGAAAAATTGCAAAAATTTTCCACCAAGGAGAACAGCTTAATTTTATTTTAGCTTAAGATAAGTGTGTGAATTATAATCATTAAGGGTATGTTATGTGTCAGGCATGTAGTTTTTAGCTAATATTTCCTTGTACTTGTGGCAGGATATTTTTTAGTTTACTGGACTTTCAGTTTATTCTTAGAAAGGAGATAACTCAAAGGAGTATCATCATTTAAAATATGTAACCATACACACACACACACATATATGTATATACACACACATAGACTTTTCACATATATTTTTAAAATATTCTAAATTTCTAATGACTCTAACAAATTCTTTCTATCCTGCAAATATGTCTTTAGACTAAGATCTTATATAGTCTTTGTTTGGCTCTAATCAGGCTAAAAAGAGTTATTTTCAGTTGGAGTACACGTAGTTATGTGCACAATATCACAGACACATTGAGTGACTATAATTGAGTGATGATATATTCCAGATATTTTGCAAGCAACTTTCTGAGGTAGATGTTGCTATCTTTCTATGTGAAAATTCCCAAGAAGGCATTTGAACCTAAGTTACTTTGAGTCCAAAACATTACTCATGCTATCACACACTGTCTCCAATTCAAAGCACTAAGAATAAAAAGCTCAGAAGATTAAAGGGAGAGCTTGGGAAAAAATTAATTGAAACACAGAATTTTGATTTTTTTTCTTGGTTAGGCTAATAGGCATGCCCTCCCCAATTGTTACTGTGTATTCTGAAAGATCTGGAGATGTGGACATAAAATGGCTTTATTTTTTTCTTGTACCACAATGAGTATATACAAGAGAATTAGTACTTGTTGTAATACAGTGGGTATATGCAAGATAACTATTTCCTATTGTGACAAGGAAAAAATAATGCAATTTTATTTCCAAATGTTCAGATTTCTCAGAAGATACTGTAGGGGTTGGGAAAAGCATGCATATCAATCTAATTAAATTAAATTCATGCTTTCAGAAATAGCATATAGGAAAGGTCTCAATATATAATGTTGAATGATAAAGCCAGATATTAAATAAATGTAGATTGTATATATGAGAGCATTTTAATCAGATTCAATTGTGATCACTGCTCTAACAGACACACCCTAAATTTTAATCTCCATTGCTTAACACAATAAAGGCTAATTTTCTTTTTTTTTTTTTTTTGCTCAAGACATAATCACATGCAGAGTGGTAGTGTTTATGAGTTTCTCTGTGACTATGACAAGCTCAGTATGTGGTTTCAACGGTTCTCTGAGGTCATAGGACGAAAATATGGGAAAGGAAGAGAAACAGCACCAGTAGGACTCTCCCTATCTTAAATGCTTTGGTCTATAAATGACACTTCACTTTTGTTAATATCTCATAGACAAAAGCTAGGCACTGGTTCCCTCTCCTTAAATGCAAGAGGCTGAGCAATGCAGTTCTGTAAGCATCAGGAGCATGTCTGTCACTCACACTGGAAGAAAATACACAAAATTATCAATATCTCTAGTGAGGTATTCATGATTTTCATTTTCAACTTTGTGCTATAGAGTATTTTCTAAGAATATGAAATTCACAATTAGATAAAAACTACAAATATTAAAATTGGCAGTGCTATGGGCTTGTTGGCTGCTGATCCTTTCATACCAGGTGCAGATGGCTTGGCGCCCTCACTGTGTAACACATTTCAATGTGCCTTTATAACTTAAGAGATTCAACAAAGTGATAAGAACATACACTGAGCCTGACCCGGAGGCCCCTTCTCTTCTCTATGCATGGATGGTTTGGAGGTAGTATCTATCATTGCCGATCACTTGGATTGCTTTGGCTGATCTGGCTGGCTTGAGGGATTTTCCATTCTTCCCTTACTGCTCCATGTTTTTTTTTCCAAAAGCTTTCCTCTAGCAGAGAACAACACTTTCAACTAGCAGAAGTAGAAGCACGACTAACCCCAATTTATCTCTTTTCACAGCCTATTATAAAGATTTCTTGAGCAACATAGAAATATAGTTTGAAAATTCATCTTATACAGTGTAGATGAAGTCACTGGTTATTTAATAAGCATTAATATCGCTAGCTCTATGCAATCATGGTACAGATTCACTGCCCTTCTCAAAGATCACCTGCTGAAAGTGAAAAAAGAAATTAGCATTGGGAGAAGATGATGACACCTCCTATTCCCCACCTTGGATTCCACTTTTTATCTCTGACTTTTACTCTTTGGACATTAAACTTTAGAATTTTTTCTGCAGCTAAGATTTTTTTTTCAACACTTACCATGGGCTTCAAAGTTTGTCCTTCATTTCCTTTCCTTAAATTTACTTTCTGTTTTATTGCATGCCACTTCCTTGCACTTGTCCTGTTAAGGAGTCCACCATGGTCATTTAATATTTAAAGGCCAGGATCATTTTGCAGGTTTTAGTTTAAAGGTAACCATAGCACACACACACACACACACATTTATTATTAAGAGCAGAGATGCCCTGTATGTTCTTGGGACTCTTCTTTCCTTTCAGTGTTAGTTTTGTAGGAGTGCTGCTGTCACTAGGTTTCAGCTCTGACATTGCTGTGGCAATGAACTAGTGCATTAACAATGGGTTCAAAATGATGTAAACTGTTCATGTGGGTGGAGGCGACCATGCTGAAAAGGGAGATGAAGCCAGAAAGTGACAGGCCACGGAGAGTCCGGTTTCGGATCGCATCATCTCACAGTGGACGAGTTCTGAAGGAGGTTTATGATGATGGGCAACCATCTGGCTCTCTGGATTCTGAATGTGCCAGTATTTGTGGGATAGATGGACTAAGTGATTCTGATGGACAGCAAAATGGCCACATTGGATCTGAAGGCGACGAGCAAGAGAATGATCAGGATAACTTGCTGGTGCTGGCAAGGGCTGCCAGTGAGAAGGGTTTTGGTACAAGAAGAGTCAACATTTTAAGCAAAAATGGCACAGTGAGAGGCGTCAAATACAAAGTGAGTGCTGGCCAAGCTCTATTTAACAATTTGACCAAAGTATTACAGGTAAGTCATGACACTTTCCTCCTCCTGAGCTTTGTTCCTAACTGGCCCTCTGAACACCTCTCAGCTCTGCAGTTTAAAGCAAGCCTCTCTTATTCATGACTCCTCCTTACTTCACAAGACACTCCCCATGTAAGACATTGTCTCAACAGCCACTGATTAAAAACAGGGTCATTATTCTTGGCAAACCAGACTGACTTCTCAAAGCCATGTTTCTAACATGTATATGAGCTTTTCTTCCAGTGTAAGGACTAAAACTGCATCTCTACTTCTCAGGCAAGAAAGGAGACAGACTCTAGAGTTCAAAACATTTCATAAAGCTTAGAAATTGGTTTCTTCCTGGTTTATGATTCTTAAATCATCAGGGTACCATTTGCCATCAGCTGTGATGAAAATGTTGACTGCTTGGATTCAGTGGGATTGGATTCAGTGGGAATGTCTCAAAGATGTAAAGGCTGTGACTTCTTCCCATTCCAGAGGAAATTGCAGGTTTTATCTGAGGTCCATTTCTTTGTTATTTGCCTATCATAACTCTGGAGCAGAATTTGAAAATTCTATTCCTCTATGAGTGTATGGACTAAAATTCTGACTTTATAGCCAAAAAAATGGTCCTTAAAATGTGGTCCACCCCCTCCAACTAACACAGGGATGTATCATTCAGATCCTAACGTCATTGACAATGATCTAATGATAAGTGCTTTAACCTGCCTAGGAGCATTGGAAAAATATTTTTTTCTTAATAACAGACATAATTACTTCAGCAATAGAATTTATAATCACTAACATTAAGGTAGCAAACCAATAATCTTCATTGCAATTCTGTATTATATGATTCTCAGTATTTGAATGAAACAATCTCTTGTGATAAATTATTCAATGCCTCTACATTATAGAGATGCAGGAGTGGTTGGGGGAAAGAATTTCAATAAAAGATACTCATATATGTTTTATTTCAAAGGAAGTATTTGAAAAGATCAAATCATCAAGATTTAAAAGCAAATTTAAGTTTTAATGAAAGGAAAAAAGCAGTTAAGACTAAAGGGTTTTTTTTTTTAAATAAAATTTACCCATGAAGGATTTTATAGAAGTGGTAGGTATGGGGACAACAATCAGAAACTGATGACTCTTTTATTAGGTTGGGGATGATCTTATAGAGACTTCTAGACATGTGATTGTTAAGAGAATATCAGTGGAATGAGCTTCATCTAAAGTAAAAATTGTTACTGTCAATGTGTAAACTAAGAATCTTTGTACAATCGAGTTTTAAAATGTTTGCATTCATTGCAATTAATTTAGTTCTTTATTATTTGAGTTGCTTTATGATTTGGAGGGTTGTTTATAAAACTGTTTTACCACTTTTAGTGCTTTAATTTGAATTTGTGTATTCAACTCTCCCCACAAATTATGATTTGTGAATAAACATCTTAAGTCTTCAAAACCTGCAAGAGAAAAAAACCCTAATCTTCTCCCTATGCATTTACCTTGATAGTGCTATAAATTAACAAATAAGAAATGAAGGAAATTTTAAAGTCAAAATTCTAATATTAGATTAGATTAGAGTATTACACATTTTCTATTCATAATTCTGTCACCATTTTATGAGAACAAATCCAAGGAAACTTTTTCTAACAATTTAACATAATTCCACTTACCTATGGCTTTAAAAGGGTAGCAATGGTTACATGCAGAGGTCCCTCAAAGTCTTTGATATTTGATCAGTTTTTTTTTCTTATATGTGATCCTTCTTTCTTAATAATGTGGGTAAATCAGCCAGCATGTTATAGGTAATCACAGATTTTGGTTATTGTCTTTACTTTCATCACCCACCACTACCACCACCACCACCATCATCAAGTGAATGTTCTCTGATCTCTCTAGGACAAAAAATAAATTAATTGGGGTTGCCAGTGGCATTATTCGAAGGGCTCTATTCAGACAATTGTCTGTGTGAACAGCATGTTTTGACTTGTACGATATAACCTACACAATTAAGTAGAGAGCCAATTTGAATGTTTGCCACTTGCTAAGGGATGTACATGTAATAAGGGGCTAATCCTTGTCCTAGGCATTTGTCTTAGGATGACTGAGTAGTTTTCCACAGACATCTTATTATGCAGCAGTAATAGCTGAAGCTACCATTCAATTATTCCCATACACACTACCAGTTACAACTCTTTCTTTGGATCTCTTTATATTTTCCATATCCCTTGCAAAATAAGCACCACACTTGACCTCATGTAACTGTAACTTAACAGTTTCCCTCCAGGAAGAAAATGTGAGCAGTTGGTATCTTGGATGTCTGGTTAGGGATTCAATGGATGGCTAATTTTATTGAAAAGGAACTGTGATTGACAAAAGAGTCAGACTTTTCTTCCGTTTTTAAGGTATAATGTCTTAAAGCACTCCACTAGAAACTTGAGAGGAAACAACATAAATAAAATCTTTCAAAGACCCTGAAATTCACTTTTCTTCCTTGTTGTTAGTTTCCCACTCTGTAATTCCTATTTCATAAAATACTGGCATGTGCCTTGCAAAAAAAAATTCAACTGTGCAGACAATAATCATCAAAATGATTTGTTTTAAAGTGTTTGTACTTTTCAGCATACTTAATTATAAAACTGTATATAAAAAGGATATCAGAGCTAGTTTCTGTTTTGTCAGTTAATTTACTCTACAGAATCTTGAGTAAGTGAGGATGCACAATATTAGTTGAGGTCATTAAGGGTAGCAATGGAACCAGGAGGCAAACATAATGGTCACCTAACTGCTCAAGTGAAATTTGTGGAGGGCAGTTTGTTGGTGAGTCACTCAGGGCTTCCAGCTTGTCTCGATTATAACTCTTCAGATGTGGTTGAATTTTCCATTTCTCCCAGATATATCATGAATACAAAGCCCGGGAAAGGCTAATTTGGAAATATGAAAACCTAGAATCTATTTGTGATCTGGAAATATGCATTTATTAGAGACTTTTTAGGTTGTTCTTACATATACTACAGTTTGAAAATTATTGATCTAAAGCATAAAAGGAAAATCCAACCAGTTTTCTAGAGTAAAACAAAAATTTCTAAATATTCCTTATGTCTTTAATTTTTAATAAGGAAAATGAAGAAAATATGTATTGATCTGATTTGTTCTTTGGATAAGGTTAGATCACTAGAAGAACCTTTTCTGAGCCAAAGATGACAGTCATGTTTCCTATTAATATCCTATTTTATCAATTAGTTGATTTGGGAACAGGTCCAGAAATTTTACCAATAGACTCTAATATAAGTTCTGTGTTTTAGTACTTTTGAAGAAATTTTACTCTTAGGATGTTTCTATCTGGATAGATTTTTACACTTGATTACCAGAAAATTTTAGAAAAAAAGTTATTTTGTCCTTAAAATCAGTCTCTTGTTACCTCATGCAAAACAAATTAGAAAACCATTGTACAGTTCAAAAAGATCTCATTACCCAGTTTGCATGATTGAATGTGAGATGCACCTTGCTCTTAGATTCCTAATATTTCTTAGGGTGGCTCAATGATGCAGATAATTAAGGTCATTTATTTTTGTTATATTATTTTTATAGGATTAAATTTTGAATAGTAATCTTTTCTTGACCTTATTATTAAACTATATGGGTAGTCTGTTCGAATCTTCTACTGTAATTTCCACAATTTTAATTTTCTCACTTCCAAATTTAAAATTACTGTATTAGAGATAAATAAATCCAAAGAAGGAAAATAATTATAACACATACTATATTTTTGGCAGGTCCTTTCTAGAACTTAGACATACATCTTCTGTCTGTGTGTATACATGCATATGTCTGGCTAGTGTAGTTGCATGTATAAACATTCTTTCAAGATAAATAAAATAATAACACGTTTGCCAAACAATTTGCATTTTGCATGGGCTTTCACATACATTATTTTACCTAATTGTATCCAAAATTTTGTGAAATAAATAGCAAAATTATTATAATGCCCATTTTTTGATAACTATCAGAAATAAAAGCTACTAATTCAAGAACTCTAATTTTGGATACTTTGACACTTTAAAAAACATAACAAATGCAAAATGTCTCACATTTGCTGTTTTAAATGTTATCATGACAAATATGAATATTTATCTGACTACATCATGTTATGATAAAATCTGGTATTCTTAAACTTCAACATTTGGTTGGCATGTTTTAAAATATATCATTTGTTTCACATTTGATCTTCAGCTGGCAAAGTTTTTTCAGAAGATATACAAGTTTTTAAATAGTATTTTTAAAAATTTATCAGAAGCCATTATTTCTCTTCATCATTTTGTTAGATCATCATGAGGTTAGTTGGCACTGGAAGAGGATGAGTTGGCTACTTAAAGCAGTACTGTTGCTCAGCCTTGTCCACTGACTCAGCATAGATGATATTAACAGAAGTTTCTGGCAGTATTTATTATCCATCTCTGATTCACCAAAGCTAGCTCTTGTAATTGAATAATATTCCAGTGAGAAGAAGGTGACTCTTTGGATCACTCTATAAAAACAACAACAATAATATTAAGCCTCAACTAGGTACTTCCTGGATGCCAGGCACTGTTCACATTATTATGTGCATTGACTCATTTATTCCTCACAGCAACCAAGAGGTAGTATTATTATTAATAAATTATTTATAATTAGAACTTCTTCTCTGTGTAAATATTAAATTGTAGAATTTCAAATATCATTTACCAGAGAAATTCTTAGATGATTTTTTTTTTTGTCAAAATGAAAATATTGTCTTTTGAGCTTTCAGAAACTCTAAAATTTTTGGTACAATTAGAAATGGCCCAAAAAGTCACACTAAGAAATCAGGTGACTTGTTATCCAAAAATTAGGAAAGAAAGAATGCCAAAGACATGTTAACACTACTAATAAATTATTTATACCAAAAAAGAATTATAAACTGACAGACCTTAACAGTCCTGTTATCCTCTTCCATACACCAGCCTTTTGCAACTCTTGGTCACAGCATTAATCATGGATGCTGA